AAGAGACTGCATGTCACACTGGCCTCATCTCAGCAGCAGTGATTTCCTTCACTTGCAGGAGCTCTTGCACAACAGCCCACAACTCGTGTTTCAGCCTCAAAAAGGGGCACTGGGATCAGATGTAGTTTTCCTTCTGAGCACCAGAGCGAGCCACAGTGCAACCAGTCCCCAAGGAATCCACGCGCGGTGGGGCTGGGGTCTCTCCTCAAGGGATACTGTGCTACGTAGCACAGTCCTACACTGCTTCAACACACAAAGCAGCTAGCATTTACTGAGATCCAGATCTATTTATAACAAAAAAGAAAACAGGCCTGGAATCATCCCAGAACAAAAACACAGAAGCGCAGGCGTCGGGGTTTTTTTTTTTTTTTTCCTTCTTTCCCTTACGAGACACTTCACAAATAAAAGTACTCAAGAGGAAGGCTATTCCTCCTAATAGGTTCAGCACAGAAGTTGCCTGCATAAGCGCAAAAAGCTCAACCCCAAAGAGAATCTGATGACAGCTGAAAGCGTTCATTTAAAACAACGCAATCCTGAACTGAACTACAGCATCGCTACTGTGAGGTGAGCACCATACAGGATGGCAGAAGAAAAAAAAAGCCAATTAATCATAGAGAACCCAGCACAAACTCTGGCCAAGTCTTGCTGATGCTTTAATAAAGACCCAAATGTCAACTCCCTGCATATCTGGGTTTGCCGATAAATCTGATTTCTGAGCTCCAAGACAGCTATTTTGACTCAGTGTGAAAGCAATCTTGTGCCAGATGAGTTCTCTCCGCTGGCTGTTCAAACTGCACAGGACTGGCATGATCCTTGGTGCACCAGAGAGGACAGAGCAGAGGACAGCCTGGTTTATTTAACAACGTAAGCAGAGAAGCAACTGTAAGGGAGACTGAGGAGAAAGACATTGGAGTATGAAGGCACAGAGCTACTGAGCGATGGAAAGAAAAAGCATGAGAAGGGAAAAGAGGAAAAAAGCAGAAGAGAAAAGGAAGAGGAAGAAATAGAGGGGTGATGGAGAGCAAACTGATGAAAGAAAGGATACTTCTAAATCTGGGAAAAACAGAAGGGAAAAGGGAAGAGGAGAAGGCAGAGTGATAGACAGGATGGCCACTCACGAGCAGGATCTGGCCAGGCGACAGAGTCCACATGTGGGCTTCCTCATCAGGTATATGGGCCAGCCATAGGCAGCCAGGGCAAACAGCATGTAGTAACACACCTCTTTGTACCGCTGCATCTCTTGCTGAAAGAGACAGGAGACTCACTAAAGGCCTTATTCTCTTTTCGATAGTGAGTTTTTCTACGGTTTCCCTTTTCCCATCGTAGTTACACACGTGCACCCTTCTTTCGGAGCACCAGCCTTCTCTCTCAGCACCACCAGAACAGCACCGTCAGCATTTCCAGGGGACTGCGGGAGAGCAAGCTGGTTATGCTGGGCAAGATCCTCCCCCTCCCAAGAACAGCTCGGCATAGCTATGCCTATTTTCCCCGAGCAGAGGGGCCCCCGCTAGCTGTTTAACAAAACTAGAAATGTTCTAGAGAAATTCTCCTCTGTTTATCAAATACCCTGCTGCAAAAGAAGCCCATCCCCTGCACATTTTGCCCCACCCTACCCTAACCGAGAAGTTTAAATCCCAAGAAGATAGGCTCTCCAAATATACTGCTTCCACACAGTCACAGGCCGTAAGGAAGGCGCCCAGAGAGGACCATAAAGCCAGTCTGGGGCCACACGCCTCGGTGCTGTCTTCTCTGCTGACATCTCTCCCCACAGCCCCCCTGTTCAGAAGGGGAGAGAGGCTGAGGAGGAGCAGGATGAGCATTAAACACAAGGCAGCACACCGCACGACTGCAAGCAGGTTAATCACAGAATCACCTGATCAGAGATGCTGGGACTGGGTCAGTCTTGCCTCTCTTGTAGTGATACCATCTAATCAAGAGGGGCAAATACAGTTTGCCCAATGAAGGGCTGCAATAGCAGCATATCGGGAGAAAAGCCAAGCTTAATTCACACAGAACAGACCGCAGCCATTTCCACCCTGAGAACTGCTGACAATCGGCCCCAGGGAGGAAGACTCCATCTCACTCCAGGCAGCTCCCCCTTATCAAGACGGAGCCCTGCCTGCTGGGCTCCAGGAGCTCTCCTGGTGGTACTTCCATATGGAGCTCTGCACGACACTCCTGGCTGCAGGGCCCAAGTCCTGCCTCTGGCTTGGGAGAAACCTCACGTTGCCTTCCCCCATCTGAGGGGAAATACTACCGCTTCCCACAAAGCGGAGGACAGAGACAGACAATGCTTTAGAAGCAATCTGAAGACAAAAAGCCTCCAGGCAGCAAGCGTCATCATTACGTTCTGTTGTACTAATCTTGATTTCTGTGATTATTCCAGAGAGGGGCAGAAATGAATAAGAGAAGCCACTGAGAAAGAGACAACAGGCTACACCGGGAAGGCATGGTGAGTTTGCAAGATCACAGTCCAGTGACTTACCGCATTTTTCAGATCCAGATACTTGGTGTTCCGGGTCACTGGCATCCCAGACAGAAAAGCTAAAATGTCATTGTTTGCCTGTAAGTTACAAACATACGTAAAAATTCTTCTCTGTGACATCAAGAGAAAAATCTATATCTGAAAAACAGAAAGCACTATGTAACCTGGGACAAGATACATTCAAATATCCCAACCAGTCTCCTCAACTGCTTCTAATTCTGCTGTTCTCATTTCTGCCTGTTCTGATCACTGCTGTCTGAACCCCACCTCTGGGGACAAAAAAAGAAAAAACCCACAAAACCCACAACAATTTTCTACTGGGTTGACAATCCACAAACCTCAATGCCAGGAATGGCTTAGGAATTTAGGAATTTTTCCCTAAAGTTCCCCCTGCAGCTTTACCCAGATGCTGGAGTCTTCTCCGCATCACCGTATAGGAGGAATAATCTTCCCATCCAAGTACCTACCACCTCCTTCAAGGCAGTCGCCCATTTAGGGTCAAGAGCTAAATCTGTACGTATCACCTGCCTAGAAAAGACGACAGGTTTCACAAGCTTGACTCAGTGTCAGCTGGGCCCTTTGGGAGTCTGGGAAAAAGCTGCTAAAGAAGTTAGTATTTTTATTTTACAGCTCAGGGACTAGCAATAGCCCATCACACAACAGAAACAAGGTGGGCAGAGTCCTGCAGTTCTCACACAGTGAATCACAAGAGCAGCAGGTAAGTCAGGGGGCAAGTGAGATGCCCACCGCCTCCGTGCAGCCCCCTCCACCCACCTCATCCAGCACAGCATTGCGCTTCGCCCGCTGCCGCTGGCGCAGAAGAACCAGGCCTGCAATGATGTCAGATGGGACGATGTCAAGGTCTCGGAAAAACTCGGCAAAAAGGTAGGCGATCTCAGAGTAGGCGTCCTGCAAAATCCAGGGAGAGAAGAGTTTAGGAGGAGGAGTATGGGTGTGGGGAGCCTCAAAACAGGACACAGAATGAGAACCAATGCGGCAGCAACGGCCTCATTTCTGTAGCGCTCTCTCCAAAACGCCACGAGATTCCTTCAGGGAACACCGTATCTGGTCTAATCATATTAATATCTCTCATTTCACATAGTCACACTCGGAGGCCTCAGCTGAGACTGAATTTGTACTACGCTCGGTGCTTACGTCTGGGCAAGCAGACCACCTCAACATCAAAACAGACCAGGCAGACACACGGGGAGATAAAGGAAAGGTTTTCATCTCTACATTGTAGATAAGACAGAGGAAGTAAAATGAGAATGAAGCAAATCCCAAGCCAGTGTCATCTCAGAGTCATCCTCTCTCCTCAAAAGCAATTTCATTTGAACAAAGGCTATTCAGGAAAAAAAAAAAGCACTGATTTTGTCCTATTTAACAGTCTCTTCAATTCTGTACCTCTGTCCTGGGATCATTTTGCCCATACTTAAGCCAGACCCCACCATCCCAGGCAGCTCAAAGCGACAGCTTTTGAATCCTGCCGCTGAACAGTCTCTGTAGCTGCTCAGTGTTCACCATCACGCTCTTTGCTACCCAATTTCAAAGAGTTAATTACAACACAGCAGCTCTTGGCACTGAAGGAGCTGACCAAGTTACCAGACTTCTCCAGGTTCATCTCGGACTACGCTCAAGCAAAAGGGCCTGAAAAGGAAAACTTGGAAAAAAGATCCGAGTCATTAAATGCAGAGTTCCCAAAAGAGAGGCTGACCAAACCCAAAAAAGGAAGACAGACATCACAGGAGGGACAGAAGTGGAAGTGACCCGAGAGGGTCAAGCAAAGGCTCTGAAGCAGAGCGACAAAGATATTTTGAGGAGAAATGTTATTTTTCCTTTTGCCCTGTACTACAAAAAAAAACCAAACCCACAAGATCTTAAGTGAGAATGGTTTGGGAGGTTTGAGGTGGGCTGGACCGTGAGTCAATGCTGACCTGGCCGTCGCTCAGACCAGCACGTTTAAAGACAAGGGTGACCCAGAGGCTGGATCAACAAAATGTGGGATTGAGCAAGTGCTGTAGTACACCAATGGTCAGTATTTTGACTCCTGCCAACAGTAACCTTTCCTACCGAGGTTTGTCACAGCATTATCCTGAAGTTTTAGCCTGCGTTTTCACAGAATCCTTTCCTCCGCGCCTAAAGCCACACGACTGCAGTCTTGTCCGTAGAAAGCCCAAGCCGTGCACTTGAAGAAAGGCTGGTCTTCAGGACAGGATCTCTCCATCTCTCTTCTTTGACCGGCAAGAAAGTAAATCTCTTCTCTCCCTAGTAGTCTTGCAGAAGATGACCTACATTCTTTTATCTCTGACAAACTCGTGGAGTGCAAAATTACTTTCTATCATTTTTCACTTGCCTACAAAGGGAAGTTAAATGACCATTAAGAATGGGGCTTCAGGTGCCAACTGTGCAGGTTTCCATGCCAGCTGTGCCTCTGAAGAGCAAAGGGACTGGCAGTAACCTCTCCAACATTATAACTGCAGTATCCTTGAAGCACTGACCCCATAAATCTTACCACAGTTCCTATAAGCACACAAGAAATGCAAACAGCCTCCAAGTAAAATATGACAAAAATCCATTAACCCAAAGTGACAGCAATACCCCTTAATACTCTGACCAAAGTAAGAGGCCGTAATGGAAGTTCAACATTTATGTTCTGCTCCGAAGGAAGAGTTTTTGCTGGGGCACCTGATGATATATTGTAGGATTGACTGTAGTGTTCTGCTACAAACCCTGCAGGCTCTGGGGCTGGCAGAGCCGGTGGAGACTGAGCACTTCAGACATCACGCCAGACCCTAAGAACAGATTCTTGCCCCGATGCCATGTCCACTCTGCAGAACTATTTTCCAACCCATAGGACAACGATCCTCTGCTAGAACATTTTTTCCACAAAGACTAGGAGAGACAGCAATGGTTTCATTTCTGATCCATTACATACGCATTCATTCCACACGCCGTCATGCCAGGACACACAAAGTCAGAGCTTGTTTCTGCAAAGAAAAGAGCCTGGAAATTGCTCAAGTTGAATATAAAATGGAAATTCAATAGCACAAGGAATTTGAAGATTCTGGTATCTGCTTTTATCCTGAACTAAGAAAAAAAACTAGAAACAGTCACTGCAGAATGAAAAGTTTGTTAAAAAAAGCTTGACGCAAAGTTAAATATTTTGCATTCCTGAATAAAATAATAGAGTTGTTCAGAAACCAGGCCATTCGGACGCCCATCAAGGGCTCTCCAGCCAGGCTGCGGCACCCGCCCTGCACCCTCAGGGCAGGCGGCTCTGGGTACCTGGGCAAGGCGACCTGGCTGTGCTGGCAGGGGAAAGGGACGGTGCCTCTGCTCTGGTAGCACAGGCAAGCGGAGGAGCGGACAATAACCCCCAAGGAAACGCTCCTGTTGGAGCTGCTGTGCCACAAAGCTTGTTTCCTTTCAGCTTTCCAGATGGATTTTCCTAAGCAGCTCCCGCAGCTCTGCTCTGTGAAAGCTGGTAGTCCTGGACGATGACTTCTCAGTGGGACAGCAGATTGGGGCTGGGACACTCCCTGGGACCACGGTGGCGTGTCACCCAGTGCCGCAGGAGCGTGCGACTGGGAGGATCAGCCGGACAGTACACGCTGCTGGATTCCTGCAAAAGGGCTACGACAACTCCTGCAGCCATCCGCACTTTGGAAACTGCACCCTGCGGATAACTACACAGCACTTAATAACAAACCCTTTTAATCTAATTCATACTGGTTGCCATCTGTGATGAACAAATGTTCAGGTAGCCTTTGCCTGACTCTCAATTATTCTTGCACAGCTCTTCATCTTATTACACCCTTCTCTTTTGAGGTTAAAATCCCAGTCTCATTTCTCTTCCTATACAAGTTCATATCCGCTCCAACATGCTCCTTTTTCTGCTGCATCTTTTAGGAGACCAAACACCAGGCTATATTTAGTGAGGACATCACTGATGTGGTCAGTTCCCTTGGTGTTTTCCCTGTCATTTTCTATGCCCTTCTACTGACGCTAAACATTTCTCTGATTTTTTGGCCACTGCGGCGCACTGACGTCTCTTTGAAGTGTCCTTGATAACTCCTAGCTCTCTTCCTGAGAGGTTGTAACTAATTCAGAGCCCAGCGTATGCAAGTAATTTAAATTGTTTCGTCGATGTGCATGCATCACCTTATCCATCTTTATGACTTTCCTCTTTGATAACAATTCCCTGGTTCTGCTTGGTCTTTCAAAAGTTCTCAAATATTCACAATTCTGACCAACTTAAATATTACGAGTCATCAGCAAATTCTTCCACCTTAGTACTTGCCTCTCCAGCAGGTCCCTCAGGACACCTGTCGAATACCACCCTAAGGCACAAACCCGCTCCCACTGCTTCCAAGAACGGATTGCTAGCTTTTGGGGAAGCAATACCAAGCCCCTTACCCTTCCTTGCTGGACAGATAACAGCAAGGGAAAAATCCCAACTGGTTTGAAGTTTTCATGTGCTACAATGATCTTGATGCGAATCTATGGATTAAGTAGTAGGTTTTGACTATTAGTAATCCAGAAGTATCCTTTTGCCGATTCCAATAGGTTTACGTTTTCCCATTTTCAAAGAGGTCCCTCTCCTTCTTAAGTCTACGGGATTGATGTGAACAACAGGAGAAACTGCCTAAGCAAACTGGCTGATAAAGGGAAACTGAAGCTGACCACAAAGTGCTGTCAAGTGTTGAACCTAAACACAGTGAAAATATGTATTTCTTTCACAGATATCTTCACTTAAAATTATTATCCCAGTTCACTGCAACAGCAAGGTAAAGAACAACTTCAGGAGGAGAGTTTAACACTGACAACACCACTTTTCAGTGCTACTAACTTTACCTTCAGAGAGAGTTCTGTAATACCCAAAATCAGAGGGTTAAGACTAGCCATTTGGAACAGACAACTGCCTTACTCAGCAATGCTGCACCTGCCTCTAGAGGGAAACATCAGCTTCGCTTTCTGCGTGGAATACCCGGGTACCCTCCTGCAGAAATGCAACTGCTCCTTCAGGCTACGTGGGCTGAAAGGAAGGAAAAGGAACCAGCAGGCAGCAAAACTTCAAGCCTGGTCATTCTGAGGGTAGCTCAGCTTGCTGCTTCTTGGAAGGCATCTCCAGTCCTTGCATGCACTACTGGGCTCTTTGTGCCTCCAGATCTCAGAGAACACTCCCAGTGAAGTGAAACACACATTGTCCGGGCTTGACAGCAGGAACCCCAACGCTGCTACGCTCTGCTGAGTCCCACGTTATCATCAGCCACACACAGAGCTTGCTCTCTGACAGGAGATACTGGGTACCTACCGACTGAGAGTCTTTTGTCCGTGTGCAGCAAAGAAAAACTTTGAGTCTGCGTGTCCAGCTGCTGGCTTGCCCTTCTTCCAGGCGGTGTCTGTAAATAAAGGGTAGAGTATGCACATGAGGACAGACAGAAGACGACTGCAAACAAATACCAGGACCCACAAAGTCGCACAGCCTACACTATCACTTGTAAAATGTGTGCTAAACCGTATTCTTATATTTATTCTGGTCTAGCAGAGACAAGGAGACCACATATAGATTAAAAAAAACTCAGCTTATTTTATAGGACAGGGAAATCACTAATAATCTAGCAGTTCTGGTCAGGACCAAGCCTCTGTATGTATATACATGGTGTCCTCTCTGAACGGGATGGCCGTAATGAAGCTACTGTTGTTCTACGGTACCGTTGGAAGCGGGATGTTCAAGAGCACTCGGTACTCTGGATGGAAGAAAGGTCTACTGGCAACTTGGCAGCTGCATCATGTGCTGGGATGTACTACCCCTCAGCGGGAAAACTCAGCCTCGGGGCGAGGAGGTGGGGATGGTACAAAAGACTCTGAGCACTTCATATGAGAGGAGCTGTGCAGTTTTTTCCCCAATAAACAGTTTATTTGGAAAAATATATTTATTCATGTAATACACTCTCAGAACAGAAACAATTTGCACTCTTTATTGAAGTACGGTGCATAACTTTAATCAAAAAAAAGGAAAGCAAGCTAAAGGTTCTCTTTCTATTCAGAAAAGATTAAAAAGGCTGAATACAAAAGGTTTAGCTCAACCCACATTCAGTTTATATGACATTTCAATTTCAGCTTCAAAATTAGCTAATTGGACAACCTTATTTAAAATGAACTATAGCTGAGTTCACTCCACTGTTGTGAGCTTGTCCTAGTTACTACGTTTTGCAGGGTGACAGTCCCTTATTTTTGAGTGGCATACCTGCAAACAATCCTTAGCTCAAGCCAGGCTTAGTGGCGTTGAAGTGGGTGCCTGTGTGAGTCCATGCCAGAGCACCGTGCTACCTACAGCTCCTCTCATGCAGCGTCTTTTTTTAGTGTGAACACCGACTAACTCAATACAGGTCAGACCAATCAAAAAAAGACCACTTCTATTTTCTGGCAGGCGATCACATCAGGAAAAGCCCAAGCACAGAAAGTGGGTTGCACCTGGAAGAAAAAGGTGCTGGTAAAGGAGTATTTGCCTGCAACAGAAAGAGCAGATCCCGCAAGCAGGGCAATCCATCAACTCACGCCTGAGCATTTTAAAACAACTATCTGTAACCTCCAGGGAAGACTCCAAAAGAGGAACAGGAATACCAGTGTCCTAAGACAGAGCTGCCCGTACTCAGTTTGCTCCACCAAATGCCAAAGAACTCGGGCAGCAATGCAAAGAACTTCACAACTTCACCGCGGGGGTTGAACAAGCAAGTGTGCTCTGAGTTATTTTCACTCCAACTTTTCCCAAATTCCTTCTTCCTAACACTGAACTTCCACATGTTTAGTATGAGCTCTAAAGCAAGTTTCTTAGAAAAGCCTCAGCACAATTAGCAGAGCCTTTTGTTTTGTTGTCGTATTTTCTTAGCTCTGCAAGAACATAAAAGCCCACACACATCACGATGCCACGGCTAAAAGGAAAACCACTGTGTAACAGAGTACCACAAAAAGGAAGCCAAAGTTACACGTCATCTTAATGCAAACGACAAACAAATCAAGTTTTCTCACAAGTTAAGACAGAGGAAATACGGCTCAGGTTAAGCATAACGCAAAGGTCAAATCACGGCTGTACATCAGAAGGCACGTATCACTGCAGTCCGAGGGATTTCAATAGAAATGGCTGGCCCTCAGCATCTTACAGGACCACAGTCCAGAAACAGGCAGAGAATTTCACAATATACTCTCTGGAAAGGATTGCTTTAAGCAAGCGGAGAATTTCAAATTATATTCTTTGAAAACAATTGCCTTAGTAGTGAACACACAGTAACATTTTATGTTTCCCTTTCACTTTATAGCCCACAGCATTTTGGCTTGTTAACATCTGTTAACACTCCCTTTCTAGAGTGGAAATCCGCAAACAGCAGGCACAAGCTCTCCGAAAATGTTACAGGCCTGGAAAGAAAAACCTGGCCATGGCCCAGGGGACAAATACCTTCACTCAGTTGTCTGGGATCTCAAAACTCCTCATGGGAGAGATAAAAGTAAATCAAAACAAACCCCAAAATTAAGCTCCCTGGCACAAAAAAAGAACTTTGCAATCTGTGGCACTCTGTTTCCCTTCAGAAAAATAATGCACTGACCCAAAAAGCTTTGATGTAGCATGACAATACCACAGTACCGTCACTGCTTCTCCTCCCGATCTCCCTGGGAATGTCCTGATCATGATGCAGCAATCGTACACGTTAGGCTAACAGGGCAATAACTCCAAATATTCAAGGCTAGTATTAGTAACATATTGGAAAGGTTAGGAAGAATGTCTTGCATTCTGCAATAAAAACCAGGCTCCTTCAAACAAAACTTGCTTGCATGGTCCTTAGAAAAGTCTGGTTTTTCCTCAACAAGACAACCTGGAGGATCCCATTTCAAGACACTGGAAGAGCATGTATTCAAAACACCTTCTTGAATATACATTCCCAACGAGAAACGCAAAATTTGCAGAGTATTTTTTAAAAGTCTCATTTTTTAGCATTCAAAACCTAATGCCCTCAAGTCCTACAAAGCCACATTCCTTGCTGACAGTAACATATGTCAAGACTGCGTAAGAAAACAAAGCCTGTTTGTGCTGTCCTGCTACTGGGGAAAAAAAATTCCGAAAAATGCATTGCTCAGTGAAAAAAACCTCTCATATCCCCATCTGGGTAGCTCACAGATGTAATCAATTCTTAATTAAAAGATCTGACTGCCAACAGAAAAGAAATTGCTTCTTGGCCAAGACCAAATACAAGAAACCTCAGGCCAAAAGGTCATATTTTGAAGACAAAAAATAAAGGAAGAAAGGGGCTTTGGAAGAAGATGCTGCCTCAACCTAGGCAAAACCTAAGCACTGCCTCACCGTCACCAGGCAAAACACTGCTACAGGACAGACAAGCAAGCTGTTGTGGTCAGTACTGGCTCGAGGGGCTCGTAAGGATTCACAAATCCAGCGACTAACGCACAATCCAGCCAGATACCGCCTTGCTTCGCCTCCTTCGGATACAGAAGCCCACACACAGCACCTGACAGTCTGAGCTGCATTCTTCCAAAAAAAAAAATCACCCTCGCCAAAGGGAAGCGATGCCTGAAGCTGAATGCTCCCTGCAGCAAGGCAAGGAGAATGTCAAGAACTGAAAAAAGCAGGGCACTCTTCCAGAAATGCTGCTTTACCGCAGGTTGTATGTCCTCAGGTTGCGCTGTCTCCGCTTTGTGGCACGCAGTTTGACAAAGGTCCGGCCTGTCGGGTCGAAGACGCACAGGACAGTGATGCAGACGCTCAGGATGACAACCCAGTTGCACACCACCATTCCTGCAAAGAAAGAAGAGAAGTCAGGTGCTCTGCCCAGAGGTCTTGGCAGCATCGCTTCCCGCTTTTCGCCATGCAGATCAGACCCACCTCCCCACTGCTGCAGGGCAGAGAAAGTTACCCCAAATACTCTCGCAGCCAGCTGCAGTAAAAGCAAATGCTCTGGAAAGCCTTCTAAACCACAGCTAGATTTTCCAGCTGTTTTAGGAGATTGCCGACGCAGGCAGCCATTAAATATTCACTTGAGTATCTAGGGGGACTGCAACATTAGCATCACCCCCGCCAAGAGACTGGCTGAGGCTGAAAAGGAGTTCCAGGCAAACAGTAAAGCCATTTTGAAGCAAAGAAGGGGAATCGGGTCTTACGGATTCCCCAGCCAGACCCTTCCATGGGAACATGAATTCTCGCCTCAGTGCAGACGGCACAAACAAATGAATAGAACAACTGTTCTGAGCAATAACGTCTCAGGAAAACAAGCACCACATTTACAGCTACAATCCACTTCCAACAGTCAATCCCCACATGCATGCATGAATTAGCTCTCCAAGGCAAGAGGATGTCTGCGCATACACAGGAATGCACACAAACCACATTCCAAATACGTACCCAAAGTGACACTCTTTGCTGTGATATCATTGCAGGAAGTGTAGTACTGCGTTAGCCACACGATGCCCACAATAGCATACACAAACTCAATCACCAAGATAGCTGAAACAAAAGGAACACAATGGATAGTAGCAGCATCTCCCTAGGGATTAACAACTGCCTCTCCCATCTTCTGGAGAGGAAACCCAAAGATGGGTTCTCTAGCAGGACAGTTGCACAGAGTGACTGCAGGACTGGGCCCCCATGCTTTGGAAGGTGATATTCAAGAAAATGAACCAGAAATGTAATGTGTCCTTAACACTAACGACTCCTAAACGACCCAAGGACCACACACGCACAGAGCCGTCGGTGCCCTTGGCTGGATCAGAGGTGTGGATCAGATAGCCGCACCTTCCGCCCACGACAGTGGAAAGGCTCCCTTAGGTAACAAGAATCACCGTGTAACAGTACCTAGGTCTCAACCGCCTCAGACAGCTGGCCTGATTCAAAGATACGAAATAAATAGCAGTGTGTATCCAGGATTAGTTCTGCTTACTAGACTTAGCAAATGCTCCCAGCACCTCTGCCCTTTGCAGTCCTTCCAGTAATAGTTCCCAGGACACGGTCCTTAAGGACTCATTTACTGGCTCCTCAGTTTTGCCTGTTACCCTGGTAATGAACAAGAAACCGGGGATTAACAATGGTTCCCCGGAACAAAAAAGTTGGGAAACGCTGCTCTGAAGTGCCCATCCTCACACTTTCTCTACACATTACAACCCCCAAAGTACAGGTGGGCAATTAGGTAGGGAGAGGATAAATGGCTTACTTAGCAAGCCTTTGGTGGAGCTGAGACTAAATCCATGTTCCAGCCTAGCCGACTAACCATCCACCCTCCTTATCAACCTGTCGGCACAGCATCTTTCCCTCCGTCCCTAAGTGGTTTACTACAGACTCTCACTAGCCTGGAAAGACCAGTTCAAACAGACACACAGCAAAGAGTTTTCAACAGCAGGGGGCAAGGAACCAGGGCTGGACCTGGCTCCTGATTAGCCCAACTTACATTCCTAAACTGAGGCAGGCTTTGCCTACCTTGGCTTGTCTCCCGTCTGAGATTATTCGCTGCAGGGCAGGAGGCGCAGTAGCACGGATCAGAACTT